TATTATTTTTTTTTTTTTGTACGCCATTTTGTCAACTTGACACATCCTACGTAACAAAGATGTTTGTTCCATGGAAATAATGATTCCAATCAAATTGTTGTCACTGATTTCCATAGGGGGATATCATTTTAAAAAAATCTAGTGATGTCACAACATCAATCACTGAAGACACCCGGGTCGTTGGTGTCATTTTTTTTCTTTCTTAATCTTTTATTCATATGTCACCTCATCATAAGAGTTCGTATATTTTATGTCTTCATAATTTATATCTGTATAAAAAAATATATGTATATCGAGTCAAATAATAAATAATGTCAAATAATACAGTCGAACCTCTGAACAACGACCACTGAAAGTTTTTTTTTTTTTTTAATGGACGTTATTTGGAGGTTACTTTGTATGCATTTTTGTTAGGGAAATAAAGTTCGTAGAAAATGTCCGCTGTTTAGAGGTGGTCGTTGTTGGGAGGTTGTCGTTATTAGAGATTCGGCTGTATATATAAAATATTTTTATTAATTAATTCTGTTTTTATACGTAGAAAATCGTGCGTGTTGCGTTAAATGTGTATATTGATTTACTGTGTTGTTCTGTGTTTATTTATATAAAAAATATGGTATAAATAATGAAAAAAATGTGATTTGATTTAATTTAAATAATTACTTTTTAATTCAAAATGTATTAAACAATAGGTTAAATCGAGTGTAGGTTGCTTACTAGTTAACTAGTGTATGCAAGTAGAATTCTGTTAAAAATAAGCAGCAAAAAATAAGTAATAAAATACATTAAATAATTAAAAAAGAATTAAAATAATTTAAATAATTAAAAGGTATTATTTAATTTAATTAAATAGTTTATTTGTTTTATAATTTAATATATCAAGAAAGTGTTAAACGTAGATAAAGTGTAGCCAATTTGTTAGCAAGTGAAGTTGTTAGGGTGTAGAATTGTGTTAAAAATACTTCAAAGTAGCAGAAAAGAAGCAATAAAATATCCTAGAACACATTAAAATCCAATGAATGTAAGTATTTATCATTTAAAAACCGTTCCACGTCTTCGATATTTATCAAATAGGTGTGATTTGTATGTGTGAAGACATAAATAAATATAACAATTCACTACTAAACTGTTAAGCTGTCTCTACTAACAAGTTATTTTAGATAGAAGAAATTTGGAAATTGCCTGTTTTTATACATTTAATGACGTTTTTTTATGTGACGAAATAAGGTATAATCGTTATTATTTTCCCCTTATTCTTTTATAACTAACAATAAGGTACTTAGCGATGTTCGTTTTGTAATAATCCATACTTTTTAAGTACGTTTTCTAGAGCTTAATGTGACTAAATAATTTAATTTAATTTAGTTTTTAATTTTTAATTTTATAACTTTTAATAATGTTTAGCATTAATCTTTGAACTGATTTTAAATTTCTTATTGCTTATTTTGTTTCTAAATTTTTGTATATTACTCTATTTAAATTTCTGTTTCTTCAAATGCAAAATGTCAATAAATTTTTAGGATCTAAGAAGTATTAATTCAAAAAGTCAATGACTTAATACAGGGGATTAACATGATTATTGACCCGGTCCTCCAGACAAAATTTTGTTTTTTATGAAGAAAATTATATGAAATATGAAGAGATGAATAGAGTTCAACTAGTCACGTGAGGCCTATTTCTTTATTGAAAGTTATAAATATACATGAATAAAATCAATGAAAACAACGTAAACAGATCGTCACTAATTATTTATGTCACTTGATAATATGTTCTTTAAGTAAAAGACTAAATTTTGGGTCACTTTCTATCTAGGAACCGAGCCAAATGGGCCTGCTGTTCTCCTATATCAGAGCTGATGTGTTCAAGTCATTGACTTTTTTTTGAATTACTATCGTCTTCGATCATAACTATTGGTCCTATTTTAAGTCCTGAATTTCTTTATTTTTTTCTAAATTTTTAGAAAAAAATAAAGAAATTCACATTTAAACTCATTTTCTAACGACTTAAATTCGATTTTATATCATAAATTCCTACATACTTAACTTATTTAAGTCGTAAAGACTACTTACATTTTTGAATATTTAAATCCAAATTATGAATAATCCTTAAATGTAGATCTTGTTTACTATTCTAAACTTGTTTACTCAACATTATTGTGAAAGTATTTATTAAAAAAACAAAATATATTACAGCATTACTATCATCGCTAAATTTGAAAATTTGTTGCACTCTGGGTGGTTGTTATGTGCAAGTCACTTTCCTTGATATTAAATCAAGCATAAAGCATGTATCAAATAAATCCTACAACAGTCCTATATTGTTTAATATATAGGTCCAATCGAATGAATGATTCTGATATTTCTTATTTTATGCATTATAATCTTTGAAGAATTCATAAAACTAATGAAAAAGAAATCCTTAACGAGGATGCAATTTTCCCTACACACGTATCCTCCCACGCAGAATTAAACTAGATCTTAGAATAATTAAATATTAAATCCTGATGATAATCTGTTAATAAATTAATTCATTACAAGTAGGTCTCGGTAGAAAGATTTATATTAAATTATTATAAATATATGTATTTATTTCGTAAAGTTATATATATAAATCAGCATTTTGACCTCCCAAGTAGAATGGAGAAAGGTTCAGTACAATGACATTAGACTATCTGTGACGTCATTGTCGTAAGAAGCACACGTGATAAATAGACGAAAGGCTGGTTACACGCCCAGGGTGGTGACCTTTGATCCCTAGGGTCAGCCGCCTGTTTGATCTCGGAGACCGTGTAGTGTAGGCGACAACTCTAGTTTCTTCGAATGGGTTATGGTATGTCGCTCAGTGACCCGCTTGAATAAAAATGTGCGATGACATGAAAAGCTTGAATTATCTGTTTGCTTGTTGTTTTGTTAATTACGTTTGTTGCCCGGAGTTTAAAGAGTGCGCAGGGGGCAAAGGGGAGGCGCAGAAGTGGTAGAAGTGGATTACTCTTAATTGTAATCTACTTTCTTAACTCCAGGCAACAAACAAGGAATTAAGAGTAACCTAGGAATATTTTAATATGGATGTTAAGTCTGTGAATTATATTAAAAGAGAGTAAGAAAGGAGAAAAGTAGAGATCGAAATAGGTCAATTTGAAGGAACCATTTCGATGTATTGATGTCAGTTTGTATTGAGGTCTTCGTAAGAAAAATATTAGACCGTTTATTAAGAGTGTTTCCTCCTGTGAATGTAATTAAACTTTTATTTATTTATTTTTTAAATTCGATTCTGCAGTTGAGAAATTATACGAATTCATTTATTTATTTTTTTCTTCTAATGTTTATATTTATAAATAGAAAAATAAATTTTTCACGTGTGTTAATTGTATTGTGTGCTATTATTGAATATAGTTATTTAAAATTTAATTCGATAAAACGATTAATTAAGCTTAACTTTTAATAAAATTGTTAAATGTAATTAAGTTTTATAATATATAAATTAATTCTTTCATTGCTTTAATCGTGTTTCTTCTAACTTAAAGCAAGTTCTTTGATTGAAGAATACCAACTTTCTCCTATTTATGATGAGAAAAAGTTAAAGTTACTATTTATTATTTATATAAGAAAGTTATAACTTTTTAAAATATAATATATATAAACCTGTTTTAAATTTTAATCTATTTATAACAGGAAGGGGGAAAAAAACAATGAGATTTTCCCAAGAGAAATAAATATTTACCTAAAATTTTCCAGTTTTTACTTACACAACAATACTAACTTTTTAAAAATAATATGTATAAATAAGCTAATTATAATTAATAGTTTAAAGTACATTTACGTATTAATTTTTAAGGGAGAAGGAAGCTTCTGTACAGATAGAAAATTATTCCCTGTACAAAATTGGGGGATGAATTCTGTACACAATCGACTGTATATAAAATATAACATCACTTATAATAATTTAAATTAGTTTATATTTTTACAATAAATTTATTTTAATTGTATAAAATGCATATTTAGCTGTAAAACTAGCATTTATATACGTATAAATATATTAATTTAATTAAGATAAATTGTTTTATAAACTGTATATAAATGTAAAGGATAATTTAAATAACGTTATAAAGTATAATGTTTAGATTAATTTATACAATTAATCGATTTAAAAAATTGTAAAAAAAATTTATAATGGTTTAAAACTGAAGGGAAGAAATGACTTTTATCTACACCATCGTTTATTTTAAATTATTATAAAAAAATTGCTACGCCAAAAGTTATTTTAATGAAAGGGTATCGCGTGCGTGCATTATGCTAATAGTTTATAAAAATTTGGTTTAAATTCTATCAAATAATATATCGCCTTGTTTCTAGCATATTGTCATTCAGTCGATGTTCTCGGAACGGTAATACAGGAATGTCAGTGCTATGAATCTAAAGTTATTTATCTTAGAGTGAAGAGCCACCTCTGCCCTTAAAACTAGATACCACGTGACTTTTTACCCTGCGCCTTCACTTCCGTCCTAGCAAGGGAATATAGGTACACCTTTGCCCTCTTTTTGACTTGGCATCTGTCATATGTTCCATGTATAGGGGAAAGACGAGGTGGCCGGCGTTTCACCTTATGACCTCACTTTCGCATCATTCCGATGGCTTATGCATCACTTCGCATGGAAGCTGTCGTTTCATGGTGACAGATGATCGTCTACGCTCCTCCTCTTCCGTGACGTTGTTGCTCTTCTTCAGATTATTTACCCGGATTGGTTAGAGAAAGTATTTTATAGTACCACATACTCTTCTTGATTGGTATCATGTCAAGAATACGTAAAGAGTTACACCAAAAAAATAAAAATTAAAATAAAATTTAAAAAAGTACAAAATGTTATGCGGCTTCGATTTTTTTATATAAATTATTTCCTCATATTTTACTAAATATACAGAAAAAATGTCATTTTAATCAACATAAAAAAAAACAGCGAAATTCCTAACTAAAATTAACACGTAATCATACTTTATTCATTATAATTAAATTCTGTAGGTCGTAATGTATACTGATGATGATAATAAAACTCTTTAATTTAAATTCCTTAACGTATACATAAAAAATGAGATTATTTTTAAGTATATAAGCTTACAAAATTGAATATTTAGAAAGTGATAAACGTGATTTTAAGTTAATTTTAGGTCAAAACATTATTTTTCCCTAAACTGGAATAGTACAAACTGGATTAACAGCCGTCAAAAAAAGTAAAAATAAATAAGAAAAATAGAGGAAAGATTCTCTTATGACTGGATAGTATTATATATACAACTATGCTTGTATTTTGCAATGATACACATAGTAGCATATACAGAATAATAATTTTATTTACTAAGAAACTTATCATATATTTAATATTCATGCCGTAGAAAATAGTAAGAAAAGTTCGATTTATATAAGACTAAACTAGTTTCGAATTTGAAAAATAAATATATTAAAAAATATTCTTTTAATATATATTACACGACTGTGTAATTTATATAGGTATATATAACACTGAGTAATATATCTTGCTACATTTTATATATATATATTAACAATTACTATCGTGTATTCGATAGTAAAAATTTAATATTTTTGTCATAAATTTAATTTATTAAAATCTTTATAATTTTTATTTTCATTCATTAAATTTGCAATTATAATAGCTCTATAAATAGTAGTGTCGAATGTTTACAAATCTTTATACCTTATTTGGGTATTTTGTCGTAAAAATTATTATTTTTTTAATTATTTTATTTGTATAACAAGTAAATGAAAGCATTTTTAAGCATCTAAAGCTTATATTTATTTATAAAAATCATAAAAATTGTGTATAAAATAGCATAAATATATCTAAAAAGCACATAAATGTCATAAGTATTTATATTAAAATTATAAAAAAAAATTTATTTGAAGAATTTTATAGAGCAACAATTGGATATTATAAAGATATATAAGTTTAAAATATTTTTTTAGTATTATTAAAAATATTAGTAATAAATAAATTGTATTATTTTGTGTATACGAAGTAGAACTTTATTTAGTGTACCCCTCTATAAGAATATAATACTGCATGTACTATACTGTGCATAAAACACAATTTAGCATAAGATAAAGTATAAAAATACAATAAAAATACAAAAAATATACATATTTTATGCATAAATTTAATATTTAAATATAAAATAATACACATTTTAAGTGCACGAGATGCAATTTTTCTATTAAGTAATTAATCTTTGAAACAAAATGCTTGTTTATATATTTAATACAATATATTATTTCTTCACTTTTTTTTTGTTTTTCTAGGTATATTAAAGTACAAGGAAAGGTGTCGGAGGCCTCATTTTACCGCCTGAAGGATGCGGATTTTTACACTTCAATTATCTAACTCGCACCACATTTGACATTTTACAGAACTATGCCTTATTTCAGCGCTATGTGATTATAAAAGACAAACACATGGCCTGAAACCATCGAGTGTGATCTCATCCTCCGTCGTCCAATTCAAAACAGTAGGATGCAGAATCGGCATTGTTCTCTTTAGTTGGTCACCTTCCATTAAGACTGATTGTATGTTATTAGTCAGTCACTGAAAACATGATAACTAGGTTGTTGTCACGTTCCTGTCGTGATATATAAAGGTAAAACTTACCATTCTGTCTCATTTTATTTCTAGTACCGAATTTCAAAAATGATCTTCATCGGTCACTTAAGAATGTCCTCGATTCTTTAATATACAAAAGTCAACCCCGTGATGTTTTGTTGTATACCCTTTTTGTTTAGTTTAGTTTGAGAAAATTGCGAAATATTTCAAGCATTTGGACGAGTAAAAAAGAGAAAAAAAAAGAAGAAAGCAAGATGTATGACCTGGAAAAGAAGATTCCATTAAAGAAAGACGAGAAATTTACTTAATTGAAACAGCTTAAGACCTATATAAACAATATACGCGTATATATATACTCTAATTCGTGATGGAATGTTTTATTATTAAGTTATTATATTTTTAAAGCATTATATTAACTATTAAACATTATATATATATAAGCACACACTAAGCATTAGATATAAATGTTTTTAAACTGGCATCACAAATTTTAACGTTATTTCTATAATATAGAACCTATTATTAATAAAAATATTTTATTAAATAATTAAAACGTGTACATAAACTAATTACGAGCCGGTTTAATGGATATTTATAAACATATTTATGTATAAGACGATAGTACTTGTTAAACTAGCAAAAAAGTAGGTATCTCGTATGACAGGTTTGTGTGCAACATGTCACAAATTGTCTGTCTTCAATTCTCTAATCTTGTCTAAAGGAGGTTGTCAGCAGTCAAGTGGGTCCGGCCACCCAATTAGTTTTGGGTGCTCAGCAAACTGAAAAGAAAAATGCCTTCTGAAATTAATGAAGAAACGTGTTTCCAGCTTAATACTTTGTATCTATTCTTAAAATCAAATGTGTATACAATTTTTTCCATAATGTAAGTTTACCAGATTTTCATTTTATTGTTTAATATTCATAGATTTTTTGAATATACCTCGAAGGAATTTTTAATAACAAGTTAGTAACAATCTTGCACGATACTGATTTTTCTAGATTTTTATTTACATAATTGTTTTTTTAAGTAAATTTTCTAACTTGATTTAAATAATTTTAGGGCAAATTATAAAAAATTATAGATTTTTTAAAATATTTTTTACTTAAAACAATAAATCTTATCGCTTCTTATACAAAAAATAAAGCATAGAAAGCATGAAAAACAAAAGCGAAGAATGTAAAATATGATAAAAATTAAATAAAAAATATGCAAAATTATCATAATTTAAAGATTTTTTTTTGTCCTTTTATTAATTAAAACCCCGAATTTTATCGCTCCTTATGCAAAAATTAAGCACGTAAACGAAAGAAAAGAAGGTAAAATATACAGAAAATCAAATCCAAATTACACAATAGTAATAATAAATTTAAAAAATGAATTAAATAAATTTTAGCAATTCATTCAAACTACTTAATAAATTCATTAAATTTTTTCTCTTATTATATAAGAATATTTTTTACAAAATTATTCATGCATAATTAATCATATATATTACATAAATTACTTAATAAAAATAACGCATATTTTTATATATATATTATATATAAAAAGTATTTCCGAATCATTTTAAATGGAGCAAATCAAGGTGCATTTTATCTTCAGGCAAGGCAAACGAGACAATCTCATAACTCGCTCCTAGGGATATAAAAAAAAAAATAAATAAATAAATAAAAATGAAAAAAATTTAGCCCTTGAGTTTCCTCGATAACCTTAAATTTCTATAATAAGTAGTAATACAAAATATAAAATAATCGAACACGTAACAATCGGAATTACATACAGTAACTATATTATTAAATGATCGTAAAATCTCTTAGAACAATGTTACAAAAATAGAAAAATTGGAGAGTCGTATATGGAAAATTAATTGATGTGAATCTTTAAACTGTAACAAATCACATGAATATTTTTTTTTCCCTTGACCCATTTGGCTCTTCATGATCTTTTTAAAGTCATTTATTATCTGAATCGTTTTAACAATTCTTGAAAAACACGTATTGTTGACCAACCGGCTCCGAAATACGAATGAATTGTGTATGACGATCAAAGATATGTTATTACTAAATAATAAATTATTAATGCATAGACTAGACCGATATAAAAAACATAATATAACAAATCGACTAGAAGTAGATCAAGAGAAAACAAATTCTAGAAGAATAGTCCATTAAAAAATAATTATTTAATTGTTTAAATCATAAATATATATTCATTTAAGAATCGATGTAGGGCTTCACGTGTTATACATCTGATAGAAAGTAATGGATTAAAGTCTATTACGTCTAAAAAAATTGAATTTAACAAGATTATAAGTCGAATTTATTATAGATTATTTTAATTGTATTATTTAACACAACTTTATCTTATATTTTATACATTTTTATAAATTAAATCGCCTATTTTCGTTTATAAAACGTAGATTTTAATTTAGTTTTCTCTCATTTTTAAATTTAAATTTAAAGAAAATAAATAAATTTTAAGTTTTAAAAAAGAAAAAAAAATGATTAAGAATCAATTCCGAAAACTCAAGTTAATAAATTATATTAAGGGTATTTTCATTGTTGGATTGTATTTACCTTTCAGCTTCTTCTTTTAATATCATTGTTTGTTCGACCGCATAAATTGCAACGAAGTAAAATAAGAAAGACCTATATTTACTCAATGTTAGCCGCAGGATATCCATGCAATTCTTTGCACCGAAAGTAATAAAATAAGATAACAGTGTGGGAAATTTAACCTGTCGGCACTGGTGTGTACTCCCGATCACAACACTTCCTACAGAGCCGTTTTTATATCTTAATTTATATCTCCTAATAGGTTTTACATCACAGAAAAAAAAATGTGTAATATATCTAAAGCCTTCCGTCTACCATTTATAAATTTTATCTCTCATCAATTCAGTTATGTATTCGTATAATTAAATAACAAAAGCTCTGGGATATCGATGAAAGTCGAGTCATAAATTAGTGTTGGAAAGACCGGATCTTGTAATATTTTTATTATAGGAATTTGGCATGGGAAAAATACTTAAATTTATATTTAATTGCAAAGTATAGCTTAATCTACTATGATTGCATTTATATGTTAAGTATTCCCTTGATCTATTATCATTTGGAAAAATGTTAAGACGATGTTTCTTCATCCGTTGTAACAGTACTTTATACGTCATTTCCGGTAATTTTTCACGCAACCATTCTTCGTATTTTCAGACTGTAGAAGATATCATTGGCTCTTCTCTCGTTTACTTTTTTAAAATACTTACGTCTCATTTGGAATTTAGAAACATTTTACACGCTAATTTTAATATGTCAAGGCGTTTTCGAGACGTTCCTTATATTGCAAATTCATTTTATAATAAAATACTGGGACTTAAATGTTAGGATTCGACGAGAATAATGTTACACAATTGGCTCTTAAAAATGACCTATTCCTTATTGAAAAATGTCATTAATATACTGTTTTAAATGTTGTACATGTAATGAAAATCTTTCCGCTCCCAATAGACAAATGATAAATATCCTAGCAAATAAAATAATATCAGTCCACGCTTGGTCAATCGACCTTGTCACCGAGTGAATATGCAGTTAGAATCAACGGACATACGATGGAATTTTGTTCGTACGGTAGCATTATAACTGTATGATCTCATTTTCCTGATTGATTTATGTCTCGGTAACTTTGCAGTTCATTCAATTATAAGTTTGACGAAACTCAAAAAAGTATCTTCTTTTTTCAAAACAGAAAGTCTCTAAGGATTGTTTTTCTTGGTATGAGATTCATGGTTATTGGAGCACGAGATGCTCGAAATTCCACTTACATTTTCTCCATTTTCTTCCCCTCTTCTATCTTGAACAGATAAAATTTATCTAGACAGCGGTACAATTTTCTAATACACGTTTTTTTATTAAAGAGTTTTGCAACAATTTTTTCTACTTATTTTTAATATTAAACAATAGAACTTTCAATTTCTTGCACCAAAAGGTCGTACGTTACATACGGCATATTATGTGGGCGAAAGGAAAGAGAGCTATTGTTAAAATGAAGAGTGTTGTCTCCGAGACAATCCTAGTGACACAAATAAATGAAGAACTGACCCTTATAACTAGGGGGGCGGAAACACAATACTGATTAGCTTCATGTCCTATCTCTTGTAAATCCTGTTACGGATCTTCTGGTAGATCCAATTCTAATTAGACAATTCAGGTTTCCTCTATACTATATTATCACGTTGGTGTTAATTAATTATGCATTATTGTGTTAATAAAATTATAATAATAATAATAATTAAAAAGACTTTTACGCATAGTTAATATATTTCTAATAATACATCTTAAGCGTACGATTAGTGTTGATGATTTAGCTGCGTTAATGTTTTATATATAAGCATATAGGCCTATATGTATATAAATCTACAGTAATTTTAAGCAAGAAAATAATTTTAATTTTAATTATTTTATTTTTATTTTCAAACATTTTTTTCTGTACTAAATATTGCGAGCAAAGTCTTGTTGATATTTAATTTCATTAATTCAATGAGGTCTAGTGTTAACTATAACCCTCGTAAGATCAATTGGTTATAGTTAATCTGACACTGAAGAAGGAGAAAATAGTTTTTTCTTTTAGAATTTTGAAATTATCGTTTCACTTTCACGCTTGTACACACAATGACATTGAACAATACACAAAAAATTATTCTTTCATTGAATATATTTCAATATGTATAGATTTTTTTACTCATTTAACACGCTATTTAAGTAGGAAAAGTGTATCAATTATTGATTATTATATAGATACAAATGCAATTTAAATGTATATAAGGTTATATTCTATTAAATATTAATAATAATATTTCATTTAATAGCTTATTGAAATCGGTTTATCATTCGTTGTTTCTTCATTCGGTTTATCTATTCGTCTCTATTGTTTGCTAACTAGCAGAGTAAGTCATCTATGACCTCAATAGACATTTACTTCACGATTCATTTAAGTCCACCTTCAATAGACACGATATCTACGAAACTGGCCAAGCTGTAAGGTAAAAGTTATCCTTTGGTTATAAACGGAAGAGCATTAAAAATTCAAATTCCGTCTACAGAAAATCCTAAACATGTCTAGAATAAGAAAACAAAGGAGATCTTGTAGGGTCGAAGAAAACAACCCAGTACTTTACCACAATTTAATTACAACAGGTCGTTTAAACATCACAATACCTTTGATTTATAAACCTAATGATACGTTCTCCCATTTCTATTCCGTTAAGGAAGATGCTACATAATTATCTGCGGTCACCATAATTGGGCACACTACTGCTATACCATCCCTCTGACGTGACTTGGGAGGGCCACTAACTGCTTCTTTCATTATTATTTAGCAACGTTTTATTTTTAGACTTATTTTTTAACGGTTTAACGGGAGAATAGCTTAGAAAAAAACCGAATAAAAAATTAAAAAAAACTCTCGCTAAAGTTAGGTAACATGAATAGTGCAGGTGAGAGATGAAAGTGACGCATGTGGTTGACTTCCTGTGACAAGGGTGAGCGATGCCTCGGGCCCTGTCGTCTCCATCGCTAGGCAGGTAGGTCAAATCTCCCAAGCTCTGGTTCTGACCTGGATTTCAGTAGTGGATAGTCATAGGGCGACCCAGACTAGTTGGTGAAATCTCTTTGCTACAGTCAGTGCTTGGATGCGGTACGCTCGATGAGGATGATAAAAATGAGGATTAGTTTAAGTTGAGAAAGTGGTGTTGGATAGTTTATCACCTGTTTGAGAGGTGAGTGCTTAATTTAGCGCATTATCAATTTTGTGATTCTAATGCTTTTAAAAGATGATCATCCTATCCCTCTTAAAGAACCGGTTTAAATTGAGTGAACTAGTTATAATAGTGTGTATAACGTGATATATAAAAAAAAAACCAAAGTTGCAGAACCGTTATAGTGGATAACGGCCAGAAGGCATCAAATCTTTTTCTAAGTGATTGATGCTACGATTTCGAGCAGGTGTGTATTTGAATGAAAAGAAGCAGGTGGAAACATTTCAACGGTTTGGAACCGCTTTGTCTGAAGCCCTAGGTGAACTGATAAAACTAATGGGAGGATCTCGACTTTTAGAAGTCGTCTTTGCCAGTCCAACTAGAAATTGTCCTAAAAAGCATTCCTCTGTGTTCTTATTATAAAGCGAATTAAAAATATACATATATACATTTATTTATTTAAGTGGATTAGAATATTTATATTTACTTTCTCGTCTCCGCATCNGTTTTAAAGATGTTAGCTGTCATTTTTCTTGGCATATATTATTATTTATTGTTGCTAATATATATTTTTTCGAAGTGTTTATTCAGCATGCGAAACTGTTGCACGTCTTAAAAGCTGTAATGTAGGTCTACAAATAATACACACAGCAGTCTATCTATAGTTTATAGTCTATATAGAATTGGTAGGATGAATAAACAGTTTTTATTTAAATGCTTTAATAATTTCAAACTTAATGCGCAAAATACAACAATGAAATTATTTCCAAAAATTAGTTTTAATACGTACAGGTCTATAAAAATTGTTTAATATACAATTATAATTTTACTATTAATAAAATATATAGGTTTATACAAAATTAAAGTTTCAGATATTAATTTTTATATTTGATCTAAGAAAATTAACAATTTTAATTTATATATATATATGTGTTAATTTAATTTAATAATTGATAGGAACAGGTTTAGTTTATGATTTCTTAAAATTTATTTAACTTATATCCACGCTTCATTTTAATTTATATTATAGGTGATGTGATCGAGTTAGAGTTTAAGCCAATTACTTGGTTAATATTTTGGTATCAGAACAACATTGCATATGACAGCTCTATTGGCACCACCCCATTTCGAGGCCAGATTGCTTCGGGTAATATTATACAACTTATCTAGCAAAGAAGATCGCCTTGAAAAGTACAGTGCCCTTACTTTAACAGTCCATAAGTGACCTAGAAAATTTACAAAAGGAGACAGTAATAACACATTCGATCATTTTCGCTAATTTGCCATGTTTTTTATATACATATATTGGGTTAAAGCAGCGAAAGTGAAAGATGTGAATCTGTTTAAAGATAAATTTAAAACAAGTTACGATTGCGTGTTTGAAACAGAAATTATTAATTGTTTTTATCTGTAAATATTACAGACATTATACGAATTTTTTAAGTATTATCAATGATGAAATTTTTTTGAATGCTTCATTAATGCTAAATTTAGAGAAAGGGAAAGTGTTTTAAATAGAACATTTTCTTTAATTATATCTCAGTTTACGGATTAGTACGTAGCACAAAGTAGATGTAGGGTGTAGTCGCATTGTCATGGTCTGAACAAATTACCTTGCGGCGTATCAACAGTCCTTGAACAAAAATCACCTCCAATCGAAGGTCTTTGTTACACTTCCCGAATAGAGAAGGAAGACTTGATACAGGAATGGTGAAAGTGGTGGCAACCCAGCAAAACGTGTGCAATTTGACGTCACGAGACCTTGAGCTGTAACATTTTTATGGTTGGCGAAACCGGCGAACATCTCATACCGTTGTACACCTGCTGTCCAGCTAGTGAGTGGTTCTTTTTGGCTACAATGTGGATTACTAGAATGACTCTCGGGTGGCAGTAGTGTGTTCGCCAAATGTTGGATCTTCGTCCGTCTTACGTTTGAATGGCTCCCCTTTTAACGGTAATTAATACATATTTAAATGACGAAAATTAATTGACAATTACGCACTTAATCACTAAGATTCGGGATTCGTTATAGATTATCTTTAATTTTTTTTTTATTTTCTTAACTCTTAAAACTAACTAATTGCGTATCGTAAATGGTAGATTTAAGAGAGTAGAAGTTAATACGTAGTAAAGTATCAGAATTAAACTGATAATATGCGATATTTGCTATTATATTGCTAAAGATAATCATTAATATAATATCGATAATGATATAAGCGCGATTAGTTTGAGTTTAGACTGATCTACCTTGATATTTAGAGTGATTTAACTGCTATCAGCGCTATTTGAAAGCCAATTTAAGTCTTAAATTAACTAAAACGTTAGTAAATCATTGCGTCTAGGTAAATTTCATACTCACTTTGTATGTATAATGTTTACATAAACGTATTCTCCCAGACAAACACTTCTCTGTATAGAACTAAAATAGTTTACTGTAAGTCATGTGTGCATGTATTCAGCATACAGATAGCTTATTATCTTCTGTGGTCTCTCTTTAATAAATCTAATGACATTTATTTTATAGATGAACCAATTGTGTAAGGTGTGTGGTGAACCTGCTGCAGGTTATCATTTCGGGGCCTTCACCTGCGAAGGTTGTAAGGTGAGCATTGTATTTAAAATATATTATAATCCAAATAAATATAAATTTTATAGATCATAATGTATTAATAAATTAAATAAATTTAACATAATTTTTAATATAAATTTCCATCTCGTTAACGGATTTTTTTCCCCTTTATTTCTCTTTAAATTTTTGGTTAATATATAGTTTAATTTAAAAAGTATTTAAGTTGTTTGTTAACGTTTTACTTTATATATTTTTTGCAAAATTTAAGAGGGAAAAAATACTACTTTACCAAGATCACGTTAATTATAATGATATTGCACAAGATTAATAGTATTTTAAGTAAAAAATAGAAACAAGCCTTGCAAAATATTATAATGCCTATTATAATCCCTAACTTGATTAAATGCTTTTATATTAAACTTACCAAACAACCTTTAAAAAATTTTGTTTTTTTAACCTTGCTCATCTTAAGACGAAAGGTATTTTATAAGAAAAAAAAATAGTTGCACGAGATATTTCTTTATCCGAATAAGGACAGAAAATTCTAAAAAACGATTGTCAATTCGAGAAATAAATTCCCCTGGCGAGAAATGTGCGTCATAAATATAGACTACTTTCACTTTAAATAACATCTGTCAAAATAGGAGGTCATACAGGAAAATGTCACAGCAAACATGCTATACTAAAAAGATGAGTATCTAGAAGATGCAACAGAGATCACGAGGGGGCACTGTTGGAATTTTGACCCCTAGAAGCACCATATTGTACTAAAAGATCAGTGTTACAAAAACACATCACGTCTCGTGGCTAGCGGCATATGACCTCACTGCTCTGACCCCAAGCTCACCTGTCAGGTATCTGGCTGGGGGAAATTTATGGCTATCCCTTAACACTTCTTCCAGTCCTGTTCAGTGCAATATTTGTAACTGGGTTAACATTATTCAAGTAAAATGCGCGACGAACTTATTACTCCATACTGAATCTGTATTTAGTAATTTAGAATGACTGAAAATGGGTTGCTACTGTAGATGCCCTCGATGAAAGAAAAACGAGAGTGACTTTTTTTTAAAACATTCCTCTTTTCGCTAAGCTGACGTTTTAGAAATTTATTTTCAAGTTGTTCCATTAAATCAGGAGACGTGATAGGAAAATTTCACTTTAATCAAATTTATAGCACGACGTTATTTTAATTTAATTGAATATTAATTAAATTTTCATATACAAAAGGCATAATAAATCCATTAATGCTTTTTTAAATATTTATGATTTAAATTTAATTTATGTCCTGATTAAAATATCATTTAGTTCATTTAATATTTAGAGTATAGAAAGGCTTCAAATCTGTGATCTGAAGCAATTAACTGAGCGACTTAGCCTACTAAAGTTTTTTTTTAAACGTTTCGATGCATTAAAGCTCTAAAACTTACTAATTTAAGTGTTTAAATATAATTAAATCCTTCAAAAAAAAGCCTTCAATTTATTAAATATTTAAGTTTTTAAATATTTTCGTATTTATAAACAGAAAATTGCATCGTTCTCTTAGTCAATTCTGAGTTTTGGAGTAAAGCCAAAGGTAAAGAGAAATGGTTAATTTTCTCTAAAGTTAATTTAGTTATTTAAAATTTATAATAAACAATCTATCGAACGACTTCAAGGTTGTAATTTGTGAAAGGGAAAACGGTAGAATGATATCATTGATGGCACAGTTGATAAGAAAAAGTAAAATCACCTATCAAAAATTTCAACTCAACTTCTTTGACCTACTTTTCCACAAATCGTGCTATCAAATCATCATTTATCTTCCCATTGGAATTTATTTAAGATATATATATATATATTTTTCTTTATAATTTCAAACCTTGACCAAAACTAAACAATATGAGGTCAAATAAATCATATTTATTGACTAAGAAACAATAGAATCAAGTACAATCCTTACTCGTCCTGATTTTAATATATTAAGCTTACGAGTGTATAATAGTACAGTACGATAACACAGTAAAAATGGAGAGAGGAGAAAGAAAAAAAATAAATAAACATACTTAAAATTTAATCAATCTTTATATTGTTATAATTCATATATATACTTTGATTGTATAGTTTGATAGGCAAAAGAATTTTATTAATTATAGTTATATCCAGTTTAGTAATTAGTTTCTACCTTGTAAGAAGAATTTGTAATAATTATACCCGCTCTCCTTACTACGTAATTAGAATTTATATTCTAAACATCCTTTTTAATCATTTTATAAATCAGTATGAGTGACGAATTCGGGTCATTTATACTTACATACCATCGACCTTTAATCTTTGACTTCTAATGGCGTCTTTCAGGTAGTCAATGTGTGTCAGATTCGTGGCAGCTGTCACTACAATTGGCCCTTTATTATTAAAATGATTTGATAAAAAGATTTGCATTAATATAAACATGAATGAGGGAAAAACAGGGGAGAAGGATACAAAAAAAAAGAAAAGATTTTCCCGTTAGATTCGTACTGCTTTGCAATAATAATAATAACAGTTGATATTATTGATAATGTATGTCAAATTATAGCCAAGGTAAGTTTATTCAAAGTTAGTAGATTTATTATATGCTTCTATCAACACGAATTATATTAAATTACTTTGTAGTTAGCTACAAAATTCATCATTAAATGTCGCATGTAGGCGTTTATCATGATTAATATTTAGAACAGCATACATGAAAATTTAATGAAATATTAGTCAAGTAAAATAAATCTGTAATAAATTTATTTCTAGTCGACTTAAAAGTTAAAAGCATTTCGATTTTTAAAAAAAAATGCATTAAAAAACTGAATTTTGAATGGGAATTTTAACAAAAACTTGGTGCAATTTAATTTTTAACCGTTTAAAATTTAAATTTTAGTATTGGAAAGTGGAATAAATGAAAGAAAGTAGTTTTTGTCAATTTTTTTATTTTTCTTTGCTTTACTTAAAGACCCTCGTGTGTCAACTTCTTACATACCAATGGACATCTGGGACAATGACATTACAGAAGCAACAGCATTGTTTAAAGAGCTTTAGGTCATAGGCTAGAAAATAAATAAAAAAATGTTTAGAAAAGGATGTCGAAATTGACTGAAAACTGTGTAATTTTAGAATAAAAGTCCTCAGGTATAAGAAAAGTATTCATTAATATTAAACTTGTACCGCAAAAACCCTCGAAACCCATTATGTTACACCCGCAGAACCCCCTGTTGTATATGATATAACTACATATTTTAAGAAGTTTATCTTTGTCAACATTGGCAAATTTATGCAAATATATTGCATAACTAGCGATATTATAACTTCACAAACTATATAAAGCTGTTATATACTAAATAACTATATTCACATCAAGATAAAAATGCTCAAACACGAACTTTTAAACCACTTATTTAAGATTTTCGTCTAATGGTACGTACGCATTGTATCATAATTTGAAAATCTTCATTTATCTTGTTTTTTTAAGCAAAATTACGAACTCTAAATAAAGATGCTTACGTTAGACTAGTCAATAATCACGCGTAGCATCTCTTTTTAGAACATTTGTTAAGCTCACGTCAATAAATAACTGTACAGATTGATGTTCTGTCTAACCTAGTGTCAAAATTTAAGCATTTATCAAAGGAATGGTAAGAGAGAAGCGAGAATTTTCTACTTATAAATCCTTCCTTTAAAAATAAAAAGAAAAATCATAGTAATTTTTAAATAATGATTTTGTATATAATTAGAATGTGACCTTGTAACCTCAATTTTCAACCCTCGCTAAGATTTCTGCACTTATTACCTAAGTTTAGGTGTGGAAATATCTTCCTATTTTGTTATGGGTGTGTTTTTGTAGCACGGATCTTCAGTGTTTACATTTTTATTTAAAATTAATATATGCTTCTAGTACACGGGCGCTATATTAGGTGTATGTGCAGCATTGAACCCTAATTGAATAATTTTGATTGGTGCTGATTTTTAAAAATTTTATTTAAAATTAATATACATTTTATAACAGTAAAAATTTAATTTATGGCAGTATTCTGCCAGGGCAGTGCTCCATCATTTGCAAAATATTCTGTTAAATATTTTCTAATGTCATTTGACTTTTGAGAGTAATGGTTTGCACCAAGTCTATTGATCNTTTTTTAATATTTTAAATAAAATAATATAAAAATATTTTAAAACTTAAATAATTAAAAATGTTTAATAAAATTTATTTTTACAGTCATTTTTTGGAAGGACCTATAATAATTTATCAGCGTTAGGAGAGTGTAAAAACAATGGCCAGTGTGTAATTAACAAGAAAAACAGAACATCGTGTAAAAGTTGTAGATTAAAAAAATGTCTTTTGGTAGGAATGTCAAAGAGCGGTAAGTTAATGTATTGTTTTAAGTTCCGCTTAATTGTACTAACAAGATCCAGGTTTCGATATTTTAAAGATAAAAACACCAACATCAATTTCCAAGTAACTTAAATGAGGGGTTGTAAAAAGAGTATCTCATGTTTGGCCCATATCACATGTATATGTATATATATATATATATATAAGTTACCTTTCACGCATCATACTAAATCTCTGCACGCCTTTAACAGTATAATATTTTTTTTTCCTCTATGTTTTTTAATGAAGACAAGAATATATGAGAGAAAGTAAAGTTGAAACTAGCTATCTGTATACTATATAATTTAAAATCGCAAAGAAACGCCTAAATCAAGATGTAGGTGGAAAGATAAGGCGATAAGTATAGGAAAAAAAAAAAGAAATTCTTAACTGGATTATAGTAATGTTTCAAGTGTCCATGTGTGTGATATTGGTAAAGAAATTTTAATAATAATTTAAAGAGTAAAGAGAAAAATATTCTTTTATACTTCTTTAATTTAATTAATTTTAAATAAATGTAAACAAAGCATTTAATTAGACAAAACTCGAATTTAATTCGTCAGAAAGAAATAATAATTGAGATCTTAATGTATTTTAAGTACAAGTCGTGTTCTTGATTCGAAAATTCAATTAAATCTGAAATAAGTAAAGCCCTTTTTTTTGGGGTTAAATAAGATAAGTGTAGACAATGGAAGGTGGGTTAAACATTCAAATTATATAAATAATTGAATCAAAAGTTATCATTCAATTACTGACATTAGTTAGATTTCCATTACGTTAAAGTTGATCGTGATGAGATTCTGTCATTTTAAAATTGTTCTCTTTGCATTTAAACTAGATCTAAATTAGGCTATACAAGATGGGGAGTTGAATTAGTAAAATACAACATTCATCATCTTAAAACGTGAATATCATTAAAACTGCTGATTCATCAAAAGATATCAAATTGTTTTCAAATGTAGGAGTATGCTTGAAATATTTTCATAACTTAATAATGTAGTAAAATTTTTTTTTAAATAACAACTACAGAATTATACAGCTATATACTATATTAATTCGAATTTAAGACGTATTCTCACCCTTAAAACAGAGTGGAAAAAGTTGAATAATGATCAGAAATTAAGGATTAAAATTGTTTATAATATGTAAATTAACAGAACATATTATACAATTTTCACGACGTATATACTGACCAAGAATACTCTCAATTTAAGAAGTGTCCCCATTTTTTGAGATGGAATTTTCAGAGAAAATTGAATGTTAATTCGACGCGAATTTAATTTAAAATAATTAATAAAGAATAAAATTATTAATAACATATTTAATATAAAATATAATTAACAAAAAATATTTATATTTATATTTATTTAATCTTATGAGTTACCTGAATTTAAGAGCAATCCCGTACGTGATAAAGTGCATTTTAAATTCGAAGTAATGCAGTATTAATTATACAATCATTTTTATTCAATTAAACACACCTGTATAAAGATTTTTTTTTGTATTATTATTATTCTAATTTTTGCATAATCTATTTAACAAGATAATGTGTTTTTACTTAGCATTGTCTGAATAACGTACATATAAAATAAATGACTTCGGGTTTTTTTTTACTTCTATTTAATATATTTCACTCGCCTTTATAATAATTATCTTAACTTGTTGACATTGTAAAGCCGAATAATAAATATGTCACGAAAATTTGTTAATAGAAAAATTAATCGTTTAGCTTCTAAAATTAAGGTTAAAATAAATAAATAGGTGAAATATTCTCGCATTCTTTCTATTGTTTGTAGGTATTATCTGCCAAATTTTGCAGCTGTTCTGCAGCCATTAACTTAATTATAAATTTAAAAACAATATATAAAGTTATCTGCGATATTAGAAAAAAAAATTACAGCTTTAAATAATTTAGTTATACGTAATGTTTTTATGTATGGCGAGAGGTAAAGTTTTCAGTTAGTTACCTGAGGGTTATAGTCGAACACGCGAGATTCAGAACTAAATTATCTGTCAATAATGATTGTAAAATATTAAATTTATTTAATTATGTTTGAGAATATCTCAGATTTGTCAGGACTATTATAAATAATCTTAATTATTTAAATATTTATGCATTATTTATATAAAAATATTAAGTTGTAAAACGAACACATTTAAAGGATTCGAAACTAAATTAGTTATCGATAATAAGGTTAAATTGTATTTAATTAAGTTGAAGAAGCTCTTAAGTTCGCCAAGATTTTAAAAAATTACTTATATACAGTACATTAATTATGCATACTTTCGGATAAGTATAGATAAAATAATCAAGATTTTAATTAGTTATGCGAGCCTAAAGGTATTAGTCGAACGTAATTAAAGCATTTCCAAACTAAATTAGTTATCGATAATGACCATAAAATCGTAAATTTAATTGCGATTCATCTGTATTAGTTATCCCATTTAGTCCTGTAAGATTAATATAATAGGATAACTGTTGTTAACTGAGCAAGTATGTAAGATTGAGATAGAGGCGAGGAGGACTGAGATATAAAATGACCCCTAGATTATCTCTTCCTGTGGTAGGCCGAAGAAAGTTACATCGTAATTCCTGCAGGGATTTTAAAGAAAGAAGATAAGGTGTCATTTCTGACTGATAATGTATCAAACATGTTATATTGAATTGGATAATGGAACTCTAATCCTCTACATGCGTTAAATAAAATATTTCAGAAGCGAATATGGCGTGAATTTACTTGCAATAGACTTATAAGGTAATGAATTTCTAAGAGGGATGATACACATTATGATATTCTAAGATAGGGGCATAATAAAAAAGAAGCATATCAATATGCTTAATGAACTAATGGCATTCCAGACTTGAATATGATTATCTTAAGAATTTATTTATCTATTTTACAACTTAAATATTGCATGAATGGTCAATTTGATCTCCAGAATATTCTGATTTTATTTTTTTTAAAAAGAAAAATTATATGTAAATTTTACTACAAAATGCACGACTCCATAGCGTATGTATCAAAACTATTTTAAGTCTATTTTATGGGGGAAAATAGGCTAAGACTGTTAATTTATTTCTTAATAGCACTGAAAGTTTCAGAAGTAATATTTAGATTATAATTAATTAGAAAATTATAATTTCAGTACTTAATTATTATATCATTTTATCATATGTTCGAGATGAAGTAACGAATGTATATATGTATACATATTATGGAATTTCATGTTACAAAAGCTTCATATAAATTCATTAAACTGCATTAAAAGTTAAGTAATTAGACTAATTATTCCATACGTATTATTAGGTAATTAGTCCATTTACTAATTTTATGAATTAGAAATGTTATTTTGTATAATTAATTTACTTTCGTCTTTAAATAATTTATTAAACGAAGAGCGTAGTAGCAATTTTTGTATAAAAATAGCGTAAAATTCTCTTGAAAATTATTCGAAGAATTAATTTTATCCTTATAAATTTACCTCTACATGTTTAATTTAAAAATACAATTACGCTATTGTAAAAGCTTAACGTAAATGCTACATGCGTACCACATCAATATTAGATTTAAGAATAATTTAAAGAAATTATCTATTTTATAATATACTTTTCCTTATAGATATCAAAATCAATAATATTTAATAATATAAGTATAATTACAATACGCATTTTCCTATATTCATATGAATGTATACGTTCAATTTACTCGGATAAAATTACTTACAGTCTTTCTGGATACAAAATATTACATATATCTTACACTATTTATATATAAAGAAGATAAATATAAATTCGTAAGGCTCTTAAAACAGTTTTATATATCATATATAAATTTATATTGAGCTATAGAACCACATTAAAAATGCCTAAAAATTTCCTATTTAGCTGAATAAAAACGTGTTATAATTGTTAATATAACATTAAAAATTTCTATAAAAATTATAATTTATATTAAATTTCGTTATTAATTATGATTGCCTTATCATAATTTTAAAAAATTCGCTCCCTTCTTCCATCAAAACTTAGAAGTTTACACCTCTTTAAAATCAATACATTTATATACTTTATATTAAATTAATATTTTATATAAGATATTTTATAAAATATATTTTGCATAATACGAATAAAAAATAAAATTTAGCCTGAATTTAGCCTGTAAAAATTTCCTTCACTGGAATTTGGGTTATAAATCTTGACGTAGATTAACCGCAGAAACCTGACTCTTAGAATTTATTTTATGGGTTTGTCTTAAATTGGTGGTCATTTTGCCTCTGAACATGATAATGCGTGACATATAGGGCCTTTTTACTCAATTAATATCCTAATAGTAATGAAATTGTCCACGTGTAGTTGGTTGCGTATTTCCTGTTTGTTCATACGATCCGAATTCATTAGACCGTGTTTGGATCGGATATATATTTAGTTTTTACTTTAAAATTGCTTAATTAGAAACAATTCCTCTTAATTTTAGTAGTTAAAACTTTATATTAAATGCATAAAATCTACAATAAAATATATATAATTTGGATAAAAACACTTAAATAAATGCTATATGGTATATTTAAATTCTTCTACAAATAGAAAAATTGCTTTCATTTAGAATTTTGAACTTAAAAAGAATGCCGTCTTTGAATTTTTATATATAAGTCCATAGATTGATATAATGTATATACAGATAAACCTGTGAACAACGGTCACTGATGGAAACATAAAAATGGTCGTTGTTGGGAGGTTATTTTGTATGTATTTTAAACAGAAACATTCCCAAAAATTGGACGTTGTAGAGAGATCTTTATATATAAATGTAAATTAAGAAAGAATAAAAAATAAAAATAGAAAACTTTAACGTTAGAAAGTCTTGGTTATGATTTACATATTCTTTCTAAAATAATTTTTATTTACTCTATTATTTTAGAAAATAGAACATTTATAAGCCCGAAGCTAAACTTAGTTATTTAGCCTCATCAAAACGTTGAATATACACTCCTATTTTGCATAATTTTGAAAATATCATGTAATAATCGGTTTGAATCAATGCTATCTCTCTGCAATGTATCCTAATTTTCAAAGTCACAACATATCATAAATCATAATATATATTACAATAAGAGGCCTTCATAAAGTATACTTAAAGACACAGAGTTATAATTTCCGAATGCAAAATTATACTATTATTAATAGAGTTGTAAATAATAGTATATATTATAACATAAAGAAAGGCGAGCAAATTTATTTTTAATGATGCTTTGTTCTTATAAGATGCTGAATATCAAAAATTTTGTATTATTTTAAGGAATTTTATTTTTCCGGCTGTTATATATATAACAGGGAAAGTATGACACCCTCCCCCAAGATTTTTACATTTTTGGCTTCGGAGGACCTTGAAATGTCGAAAAATGCAAATAAAGTTGGGATTTTTTTCTGAATGTATGGATTTTAGTATTGTGGGGGAAAGCAATTTTTTCATTTCACCTACTTTAAAGCTTAATAATTTCTATGCCTTTTGTCGAAAATTTCTGAAATTCGGCAGAGAGAATTGTGTATTAGGAAAGAATATTTCTAGAAATTTTCATGAAAATCGGATTATTGCTTCGGGAGATATGATCTTTACTCCCTTAATATCTCCCTAACAAATCTGAAGATTTAAGTGTAGTGGTAGCAATTACTTAGATGAAAACAAAATAAATAATGCCGGAAAAATCAAGCAACAGCATTAACAGCTTTTGTTTTTTTAAGGATTTTAAGGTTTCGTATGAGATATTTTGTGTTATTTTTTGAATGATAAATAGCATCAATTATTTTGAACAGGTTACAAATCAATTTGATCAGAAGCATTTTATCATTTTCATCTAAACAATGGATAAATATAGTAGTTTGTAAAAATTATGCCCTTGTTATTTTACCTCGAATTATGTATACTTCTATGAATATCATAAATGATTCAGGTATAATTTTAGTAAACTAAATTGAAATCAATTTTCTTTTTAAACTCTTACGAAACTCTGCGACTGCGATTAGACTTAAATTATTACCGCGGTATTGATATAGTTTAGTAAATAAATTTAAAACTTAAAAAATATTTAAGAATTCTTCTGGGCTATCAATTTAACGATCGTGTTAACGGCTTATTAGACATGCTAATATATTGTATATAATGAGCCAATTACGAATATTAAACAATGTTCGTAACTGGCTTTGAATAACAATGTTATAATCGTTTATACTTTGAATGGTTTTAAATTACATATTTCTGTTATTATTGTTTTCTTGTAGGATCCAGGTATGGACGAAGATCCAACTGGTTTAAAATCCATTGTTTAATACAAGGCCAAGAAGACATAAGTACAAGGTTATCCGAACAAAACGCACTATCAAATGGGGATTTGCATCCAAATTCCAGGGCTTATTTAACACCTTATATTGGACACGATGGTGATAGTGATACGTCGAGTAAAAACGGTTCACAGTCTTCCCCAGACGATGTCATCACTAAACACAATGTTGGACAGAAATCATCATCTAATGGTTATCTTCCAGACTCAAATAGTCCATCGTTCGAATGGAAAGAAAATATGACATTTCCATTATCCGTATCAACTATGTCATCGATCAATTCGAAAATATTCCATACAAATAATAGCCCTTTATTAAATAAAGGTTATTCCAACGCATATCCAAGTGACTTTTTTCCATATGCTCAAAGATACATATTGGTTAATCCCATACCTCCCGTATTAAAATCTCCCACCGAGGGTATACCATTAGGTATGGACTGTTTATCGGATGTATCGGATCAAGAGAAGCCAATGGACTTATCTGTAAAAAAGTCACCCATTCCAGAACCTGAATTATCCATTGATGAAGAAGAGAAAATTGAAAGTGAAGAACCAGTCGACGTAGTTGAAGAATGTACTACATTATCAGAGAAACCTCTAGATCTTACTAAAAAGTTGTGATATATTCACGTTGACATCTCCTGTACGTTTAAAAGCTAGACTCTGTACAGTCAAGCGATGAAAAGATATCAGAAAAAAATAATAATAATAATAATTCATTATAAATCAAAGACGTACTGAAGGAGATGTATCATATGCATTTATTATTTATGGTCCCATTTCGTACGGACATCAATATATATATATATATATTATTTTTTTTTATTTGATGTCGAAGTTCAAGGCCAGTTTTTCACCAAGTGCTTTATTATGTGTATATCCAAGGTAACAATTTGTGAATTATTGCATTAAGTTCTTTCGCTTAGCGTAGAAAATGTGACAAATCACGTGGTTATTCGTGTCAGGTAAAAATATTAAGTGGAAAAAGATTACAAGTCTAATGCTGTGATGTAAAAATAATTACAGTCAAGCTATTTTTTTAGAGAGAGAGAGAGAGAGAGAGATAGAAAAAAAAAGTATATTTAGGGATATGATTTTTCCCTAAATCGAATTAATCTAAAATTGTTATTGTTTTTTATTGTAAAAAATAATATTAAAAAATTAAATTTTATTACCTTTAATTTTTCAGCATATTCCATTTTTTGCATGACCCTCTCTATTGCTACTGGGCCTTTCCCT